GCTGTCTCTGACCCTCCCATAGACAGCAAGGTAACTACCACGTTCAAGGTCACATGTTCAAGGTCGCGAGCGTGTGGCGGCGCTGACCCAGATCCGGCGTAATGACGTCATCACGCCAGATCTGGGTCAGCGCAGGCGCCGCCACACGCTCGCATCATGATACTGTCGTGAACGTGCGTCCAAAGTGACGCAGTAGAGACGAAAATGTGGAATAAAGTTGTTATTTTTGTTTTCTTTGTGCAAAAAAGTATTCTCGTAGCTTCGTAACTTTACAGTTGAATGAACGAAGGTCTTACGGGTTTGGAACAACACGAGGGTGAGTAATTAATGACAGAATTTTCATTTTTGGGTGAACTAACCCTTTAACTTTGCACAGTTATTGAACTGAACTGAATCAACATAGAACTGACCTGAGCTGAATAATGACATTATTGCCTTCTGTCAAGCTGCTTTACTGTTGAATTGTATTCGCTTCATAACTATTGAATTTTGCAACATTCCCTCTGTTACTGACCTAAATTGAATCAAAACTGAACTAAATTGAGCTAAATAATGACACTATTGTCATTTTCGAGCTGCTATACAGCTGAAATGGTATTTGTTTCATAATTGATGGATTTTAGTGCATTATTGCTGTTATTTTCTTGTGTATTAATGTGAAGCTGCTTTGAAAAAATCTGTATTGTATAAATTGCTATATAAATAAATGTGACCCTGGAGCACAAAACCAGTTTTAAGTCGCTGGGATATATTTTTAGCAATAGCCAAAAATACATTGTATGGGTCAAAATGATCGATTTTTCTTTTATGCCAAACATCATTAGGATATTATTGTATCTCGGCCAAATATTGTCATTTCCCAACAAACCATACATCAATGGAAAGCTTATTTATTCAGCTGATGTACAAATCTCAATTTCAAAAAATTTAACCTTATGACTGGGTTTGTGGTCCAGGGTCACAAATGTGACTTAAATGTTGTACTGTTGCATGTAAAATCACTGCTGATATAAATTAATTTTAATTGATAGGATATTGACCATATAATTAGATTTTGTGTGTGTTTGCAGGTTCTCTGAACTCTCCGCCTGGGTTACATCGAAGGAAAGTCAACTCAGACTTCTGCGAAACAGAGCTGGAGACCCCAGCAAGTTTGGACAGGTCAAATCCACTATAGAGGTGAGAAACAAAGATGAAGTGGGAAGAAACTGAATGTGACAGCTGTGTGAAATCTTGATTGATCGCCCCTTCATGATTTGCAGTGTCTGAGAAACGATGCTGAACTGCAGGAGGGGAACATGAGCTGGTTGAAGACGCGTTTGGCTGCTCTGATAGAGGTTTGCACAGAGAGTGACACTCAGAGACAGGGAGCTGCTCTCAGCAAACTCTCCAGTGACTTTAAGGGTCTCCTCACATCCCTTTCTGAGGTAAGACATACTCATTTTAAGAACAAATTCAAATAAATCATCTGCCATATGGGAAAATATCAAAGTAAATCAGCTGCCAGCGGATATCTATATATTTTATAGAACCTGGAGGTGAGGATTTTGAAAGCAAATTTAAAAATATAATTTTTCTATATTATTATATATTAAGTATACATGAAATATATATAATATACTGTAGATATAAATTGTATATAATATATTTTATATAATACATTATATGTGACCCTGGACCACAAACCCAGTCATAAGGGTAAATTTTTCGAAATTGAGATTTATACATCACCTGAAAGCTGAATAAATAAGATTTCCATTGATGTATGGTTTGATAGGATCGGACAATATTTGGCTGAGATGCAACTATTTGAAAATCTGGAATCTGAGGGTGCAAAAAAATCTAAATATTGAGAAAATCGCCTTTAAAGTTGTCCAAATGAAGTTCTTAGCAATGCATATTACTAATCAAAAATTAAGTTTTAATATATTTACAGTAGGAAATTTACAAAATATCTTCATGGAACATGATCTTTACTTAATATCCTAATGATTTTTGGCATAAAAGAAAAATCGATAATTTTGACCCATACAATGTATTTTTGGCTATTGTTACAAACATACCCCAGCGACTTAAGACTGGCTTTGTGCTCCAGAGTCACATATTATATCTTTTCTGTATATTTTGAAGCTGGAGGTGATATGTAATATATAGAAAATATCAATGTAAATCAGCTGTTAGCTGCTATGTATAAAGTAAATGAGTCAATTTTTTTAAGTATTTTCTTTGGATTAAACAACTTTTTGTTGAGATTATGTAGTTTTGCCCACATTTGCCCTATCGCCCACTCATAATGGTTTCTAATTTTGGTTTCAAACTTTTACATGACCATTTTCCACCCTTTTAGAATGAAACTGGCTGTTTTTGCTACTGTGTCTTGACTTGAAAGTCTTTCCTGTGTTACGATGCTTTTAAATATTAATAACAGATTGTATGTGTGTGTTGTGATAGTCAGAGAAGGTCGTGCTGGCGGTGAGCGACTGTGTGCAGTTCAGAGAGGAGGTGAAAACTACACTGGAGGAGTTGACACAGGGTCAGCAGGAGCTGCAGTCAGAGACCAGCAAGATTCTGAACTCTGAGTCCGTCAGAGAAGCCCAACAATTGCTGCTGCTTCATCAGGTGCCACCCTCACTGCAACCATGTTATATCATAGCCGATAGCTGAAAATCATATTTATATCTAACATTCATGTGCTTTCCTAATGTGCAGCAACAACTCAAGCGTCTCCGGCTCAAGCGGAAGGAAATGCAAGAGCAGATAAACCGTGGGAAGCAGCTGCAGGTAGAGGAGGGTCTGGAGGAGAGCTTACAGGAAGACCTGCAGAAACTAGAGGCTACCTTGAGTGAAATGGATCAAAGCACAGAGTCACAGGAAAAGAACCTGGAGGTGAGAATGGTTAAGTCAAGTCAAATAAAATAAAATAATATAATTATGTATTTTAGATGTTATGTATATGTTACAGAACCTGGAGGTGAGAATGAAATTAAATTTAATTCAATATATTACATTTATATATTGTGTTTTGAATGCAGTTTCACGTCGATTTTTTTTATTTATTTAAATTTTTTATTAAGCAGATAATTTCAGTTTCTGACTTTGAAACAATGTCCATCTCTGTTGTCAGGTGACTTTAGCTGCTTGGCAGGAGTTTGAGGGTCAGCAGGCAGCAGTGAGGGAGTTTGTGGGTAAAGTGCGATCGGTCACAGAGAGAGAGATGAACTTCAGCAGTCCAGACAGTCTCAGCACAGAGCTGGAGCAGGCCAAGGTGAGAATAACACTTGATCTCCAGTGGCTCTGTGTAATGAATCACCTTTAATTAAACATGAGCGTCTTTATTTTGAAAACAGAAGAGCTGCGAGAGCTTTTACAACCAAAATCCTCATTAGAAAATCTGCTCTGGCCATACACTGAATGAGCCTCATTACAAGCCATTGTAAAATAGCCAATAAACACACAACTGTAAACAGCCTACAGGCTAATCAACTACAGGCTTTTGTTTTGAAATGGTTTGCAATCATTTGGTTTATTCTGCCTCACAAAAACAAAACAATGCCACGGACATTTTCACTTCATCTGTTGCTGATGTTTCTGCAGGAGCTCCTGAAACAGTGTGAAATAGAGGCCAGACAGGTGAACACTCTTCTCAAGAGGGCCACAGAGATCCAGTTGGGCCTCAAAAATCACTCTCTCCTCCGGGATCAAGCACGTGCTCTGAGTGAACAAGTGGACAAAGTTGAGACTCGACTCAAGCGAGAGTAATACCCTACTTTATTTCATAGATTTTACGCTAAGATTATTTAGACAAATGTATTAAACATAATCTGTGAATTCATTATGAATCCATAAGGCCGTTTTTTGATTACTACTGTATATAATTTTTCAGTGTGAAGACTTTGGAGGGGATGAAAGATCAGTGGAATACTTTCGGGAGTGAGTTTGAAGCATTTTCCACATGGATAACGGAGAGAGAAAGAGAAATGGATGCCTTGAAAACCTCCAGCACACCTTTGGTTCAGC